CTTCCTCTCCCCTTTCTTCCTCTCCCCTCCTCCCTTCTCCTTCCCTCCCCTCCGCCCTTCCTCCCCTCTCTCCGCCCTCTTTTCCCTTCTCTTTTTCTTTGCTATCCAGGATCTCATGCAGTCCAGGCAGGACTCATCCTTGCTATGTAGCCAAGAATGACCCTGAACTCCAGATCCTCTTGCCTCTACTCCCAAGTAGTGGGATTACAAGGTTGCCGCCACCACACTCTGGTTTTGTCCGTGCTGGAGACCAAACACCAGTCTTCTCTCCTGCTAGGCAAGCAGTCTACCAGCTAGACTGCACCCCCAGCCTCCCACCCACCCATCTTGAAGACTCGCCTGCCTTTCTTGCCTCCTAGCCTTGGCCTGGAACTCCCACCCTTCACCTCTGTCCTACCCACACCCACTTTTGACTTTGATCCCTTCGTCAGGTCAGGCATGTCTTCTTCACATCCTGCCTGTGTCTGTCTGTCTGTCTGTGTGTGTGTGTGTGTGTCCCTTCGTCAGGTCAGGCATGTCTTCTTCACATCCTGCCTGACCTTCCTCTTCTTAGTCCCTACCAGCACACGGCATCCTCCGCTTTCCTGGGCCTGATAATTTCGTGCTGACTCTCCAGCAGCTCGATTATGCTGCATCCATCCTCGTGAGTTATCCCTAACTTTATTCCAAGGCTGAGCGTCAATGGAACTTGTCTTCTCTGCTGCCCCTCTCCTCCCAGCTCCATACCCGCCCAGAACATGTTAGAGTAAGCCCTGGCAACCTCTCCTCCTCCCGGAGAGCCCATGCAGCAGAAGGGAGCCTTTGTGAGTCCAGCTGTGCCCAGGATCTCATCACCTGTTGACACTGTGGGCAAATCCACCTCTGCTTTTGTAACCTGAGCTGGCGCCAGCCCCTGTACCCTGAGATCAAGTGTCCCTGTTTGTTTTGACATCCCTTTTGGGGGCCCGGATGATCCAGATTTCAAAGTAACATTTTTTTTCTAGCAGCTACTGAAGGCCAGGCCCCTGCCAGCTCCGGGACTCCTGTGTTAGTGTTTTCAGTTAATTAAGAAAACAAACCCTGATTTCTGACCCAGACAGTGCT